CCCCAAAAGTGAATATAATATAAACTGCCAATCTTTCATAATGTACAGAACGCCTTATTTGTCCTTAAAGAATAATAAAAGCCAGGGAAGGTCTGTCTCATACAGTGTGTATTTATGCATGTTCTGTGTGTGCGTTTATGAGGCTAGATTCTAGTGTATAAAGATCTCAGTTGCTGGTACATTAGTGTGTAAAGAACTGAATAACTGGTGTCCTCTTGGCCAAAATTTTTATTGGGAATTTTACAATAAGACCCCTTGTGTTCCTCTTAAGAGAACCAAAGTAGGGTTAAGGGTTGTAGAACAGACGATGAACAATTGGATAAATATTTTCTTGTATGTTTCTCATATCAACAAAACAAAGTATATATACAGATACAACATTCTATCATGTCTAACTTTAAGGCTAACAAGCCGAGATCCACTTTTAGTGGGATTTACCCTAGACTAACTTAGAAAGTAAATATATTACAATAATAATTCTTAATACTCCCCCCAAGTTGGAGAGTAAATGTCATGAACTCCCAACTTGTCGCGTAGTGCCACAAATTGATCTTTCCCCAAGGCCTTTGTAAATACATCGGCCAACTGGAAGCGCGTAGATACATGTGAATGACTAATCATTCCAGCTTGCAGTTTTTCTCGAATTATGTGACAGTCTATCTCAATGTGCTTTGTACACTCATGGAAAACTGGATTCGTTGCAATGTACAAAGTTGCCTGATTATCACAAAACAATGGTGTATGAGCTATTTGTGGGACTTTTAAATCCTGTAATATATAGCATAGCCAGGTCAGCTCCAAACATGTGTTAGCCATAGCTCGATATTCGGCTTCTGCTGAAGATCTAGAAACATTGGCTTGTTTCTTAGATTTCCATGAGATAAGAGAATTTCCTAGAAAAACACAGTAGCCTATAACCGATCTCCTGGTGACACGACAACCACCCCAATCTGAATCACAAAAGGCTTTTAAGGCAAGATTGTTGGTGGCAGGAAATAGCAAACCTTGACCAGGAGTACCTTCGATGTATTTGAGGATCCGTATGGCAGCATCCCAATGAGGTTTGCGAGGTTGATGCATGAATTGACTTAATGCTAGAACAGAATAGACTATGTCAGGCCTTGTGACAGTAAGATAAATAAGTTTGCCAACCAGTCTTCTATACTTAATTGCATCATTTAGCAATGCTCCATCTGTGGGAGTGAGTTTCAAATTCTGCTCCATTGGAAACTTGTTAGGGCGTGCGCCGAGAAGTCCCGAGTCTTGCAAAATATCTAGTGCGTATTTTCTCTGAGACATGAAAATTCCTTTCTTGGAACGAGAGAATTCAATGCCCAAAAAATATTTCAAATCTCCAAGATCTTTACGGAAGCGTTTGAGAAGAAACTTTTTGAGATGTTGTTGTGTCGGATTCACTGCACCAAAATGGATTCAGCTGCATCCTCAACTTGTGATACTCGCAAGTGCACGAGCCGTTTGGTAGTATAGCATATGTAAGTGCGAGGTCGATCCCACGAGGATTGGTGATTGAATGATCCAATTCGTTTCCCCTACACAAAACAGAAATGAAAAAAGAAAATAAATAAAACAAGAAAAAAAGGAAATAACTCAAGCAAATAAGTTCCCAAGTTCAATTAGGGGGGTGTATTCAATTAGGATTATAAAGCATTTAAAAAGATTTTAAAAATCCGGGTGTATTCAATTTGGATTTATAT